CTAAACTATGCATGCCTATTTAAATATATTTACATGGCTTGCGTATATATACATATATATTATTCATACCTTCGATGTACAGAACACAAGCAGATTTTGACACCAAATTTTGGGGTAAAAAAGTGTGTCTTATACACCAAAAAATACAATATATTTACAAACTTTTGACCACTTAAGAAGAAGTTTTTAAAATAATCATAAGAGCAGTCTTGTTTAATTTTTCTCACATTTAAAACAAAACTTAAAACTCACATGAATTAGTAATACAATCATAAAATCCTTAGGATGTTATTTAACATAGTGATTGTATAAGAGATCACTTACAAGAGTATTATCTTGCTCTAGTTTCAGTTTCTGTACAATCAGCTCTTCTAGTTTGAAGTACGTGAGAACTAAACCTGGATCTATGAACTGGATGTCTGAAGACCGCAAGCTTCCTTCCTGACCAAGAAGCCACTTGTAGAAGATCAGATTCATAGGAATATCTAACTGCAAACATAAAAGGTAGGTATGATGGATCCATCTACTTCACAAGTGATTTAGACTAATTAATGCTTATGCTTAGGAATACCTGTATACATACAATGTTGATCACGAGTGATTTAGACTAATTAATGCTTATGCTTAGGAATACCTGTATACATACAATGTTGATCACTCACTAACTCCATAGCTTTTAGGTTACTTTGCATTTGTAAGCAGTAGAGCTTACCACATTACTTTTTTAAAGTACAAGTTAATGGAACTGAAACGTATTTAGCATCTTCATATAAATAATAATCTGCATTCTGGTACATTAATTAGAAGAACCATCAATGAAAATTCATAATTAAAGTATTTAAAAAGAAAAAGACAGTATCAAATATATTACAAAAAATATTCCTTCTATAATAAATATTTCTTGTTTAAAAATTTATTCAGTGTTTTAAAGTGATAAAAATCACTAAAGAAAGATGTTCTAATTATGTTGAAAGTAGTTCATGGCATGTGTGGCATTTTTTATTGCCAAAATAATTATGGAGACTATATGGTAATATGTCACTTTACCCACTTGCTTCTGACTGTGACAGAAAGTAATGTTTATAAAAGTGTATATAAATGCTTCTTTGGCACTTGCTGCTTCAGTGTTTAACATTTCCAAGACAGGAGGGGTATAATTAATATCTTCTTTTCATTCTTACAGTAAAAGTAACCAAACTGCACGAAACTTAGTATAATGTTTCAGTGTTTAGTTACTGCAATAAAAAAAAAGATATAGTACTTGTATAATTCTTTAAGTGTGAAATGTCTGAAGTTTTATTGTGATGGCTCTGGTTTTACAGCACAAAACTATTTACTTTTGTCTTGCACTTATACTTCATTACTGATCAGTAGGTTTCATTTTATATATCCTATTAGTTTACGTTTTTTCTTTTTTGTACTTAATTTTGCTGATTAAAGCAGTCAACTTCCAATTGTATGCTATGACTGACAAAGGAGTTACCAGTGAACAATTATCTCACCTTTCAATATGGATTTGTTTGTTTTAAAATAAAGCTACACAATGAGCTATTTGCCCACAGTAGATATCACAATCCAATTTAAAAGTTATAAGCCCCAGACTTGCCGATGCATTTTAATATGGAATGCCATTATTTTTGTCAGACATAATAGCAGAATATTTCACCAACAATTTATATCTAATAATTATAGCTTGTTTTCAAAAAAACTTACTCATATTTTTGTGTGTTATTTGAACAAATGTTTAATACACAGAGATTTGTGTTATCTGAATAGTCTGCCATGGTAGACAATAGCTTATTCTACTTGCTAACCCTCAACATCCTTATACAATGTACAAATATTCCTGTACCTTTCAAATGGATAAAATACAAGAGATAGCATCAAGAATGAAAAGAACATTGTCAAAAACTACTAAAAAATCCAAAACCTATTGGAAAGTATTTCAAAATTATTTTCAGATTGTTTCACCATTTCAGAATGTGTCATTATTTACCCATACAACTATAGGAATTTAGGTACATAGCTTTAAAATTTAGCAACTCTTCTTTCTGATGATTATTGGTTTTAAGTTTTTTGAAAGCTAAGAACCAGTCAGAGTTCTCCAGGCCCCTATGGGCAAGTATATGTGGATTCAACAAATACATTTGCAATTAGACAAACACATAGTATAAAAACAAAATTCATACCAAGCTAAATGCAAATGCTGAAATCTGATTTAGAGAAATAAATATCAGGTTAAGAGGAAAGACAGATCATAAAAAAATAGAAATGAAATATTTACCATTCCAGATACCTAGACATGACAGAAATCAATGTATGAACATTTTTTAATTATTCTAAAATAATCACTATATAATGCTAAAATATCTATTGCACAGTATTCTTAAACCCGTGCGGATGCTGTCAGTGTCCGGCTGAAAATCCTGATTTACTGTTTGGTTCAAATATAATCCAAACCATGTTGTTATCCATAAAATTAAAAAATTGAGGTTTTATAAGGTATGGTGATAATTAATAGGAAATTGTAAAAATAATTCCAGCAGAAAGTGCAAAAAATTATGGGTTTAGAGTTAAGTAACAAAGTTGTTAGAAAAGTAATATATCTGTAAACTAAATTTTGAAAGTTTATTTGTAAGTATGCACTTATGGTAACCTAAACATTTACAAGTTAGAGGCCTTACTAGCCTCATAAATGGAGTTCAGTGGAGTTAAAATAGCCTATAAATCAGAGAAAACACAGATGCTTATTTAGGAAATATATATTATCTGGCAAAGTACCCTACAACAGGGAAAGAGAAACATATACATGTGTGAAGAAACTGTATATTTACAAAAATAGTTATTGGTGCACACTGTCTGAAAGACAAATCTTCTGCAAGTTTGGTTAAGGTCTCTTCTTTTCCTTTGCACCTTGTTACAAATCTTTGCTCTGGACATTTCTTCCTGGTGTGTTACTCAAAACTTGTTGGGTAAGGCAGCTACTTTGCTCAATAATTGTAACAGCTTTCAGCTGGAAGGTTAACTAGTGTAGTTCAAAAAAGATGATCCTTCTAAATGGGCAGCAAGATGAATAGCTTATTGTTCACTATTTCACCTATTCATTATGAAAATTATTTTGAAGTTAGTCTGATATACTTTTAATGGTATCTTTCCATCATAGTCTGTTGGTTTCTCAACTGGATGATGTTGAACTGAAATGTTAAATCTTGGAAATGGATTTGATAGTGACACAGCAGTAGCAGGTGTAGACCAAATAGGTTTTCCTATTCTATGTTTAATAGTAAATGGTGTGTTAGACTGGAACTTTTGATTCAATGTATAAAGAATTGTGGCTGGTTTGATCTTTACACTTACCAATTTTTTTCCAAATGTTTTACATCACTGATCATGCTGTTATAATCTTTCTGCACATTACAGATGTCTTTTTGTACTTCTTCAAACTTTTGTCATAATTTCTCTGTACATCTCCAATTGCTTTGTTGATCCTGTCATCACCTATATAATTGTTTTTTATTCTTCTCAAGATGTCTTCTCTTACCTCTTGATCCTCTTATTTTTCTGTCTTGCTTTTTTAACTTTGTTTCTTTCTTCTTAATCTTATTTTAGTTTTACCTCATGTTCTTCAAATTTTGTATCTTTCTTCTTGAACTTTTAAGTGTTTCATTATTTCTAATAAATCTTCAATCATGCTCTGTGATTAGGTTGTTACCTAGAATTTTAGTCGAACTTCTATTTTTTTTCATTAAAATAATCCCACTTCTGACATAAGCATTGCATTGTTTTCTCTCATTCGGTGGGTTATTCTGAATTAGTTGGTAAAAATAATGTCAAATCCAGTACTTGTAATGATAATAAATTAGTTTATTTCTTCCTTAATGTTTCCTAGATGTCACTTTTACTTGTAAATGTAAGCCTAAGTGCACAACAACATTTCAATAGAAATTCCAAGATTAAATGAAAACACACCTAACTCACAAATAAACTTACTTACAGAACTTCTTCGCTAATCAATCTAGTAACTGAACTGACACCATAAATTTCTCTTCTGACAAATGTTCTGACATTGAACTCAAACTAACTGAATAATTATTAACTTGCTAACTGAACTGTATCATCACTGATTATTCATATTGTACTTTTGTTTCTAGATATTTTACAGTTTCTTGATTATTACATATAATGAACTTTCTAGATATTGCATCATCATGATTAGAAGCTCCATCAGTAACTATCTAAATTAAAATAATAAAAATATAGCTTACAACATTATACCATCAGTAGTCTTTTTATTAAAAAAATCTTTAATTTAATTAGAAGTCTCTAAAACAACTGTGCTATGTGTAACAAAAACTAAATTTTAGAAAGATCAGTTATTAACTACAAAATGATAGTCATTTTTATTTCAGTTTATTTTCATTTAATGAGAATATTTGACTTCCTTCTATTCATGAGTGTGAATCATTTACTACACACAACTGAGATTATACTTAAGACAGATGATTTCTAAAATAAAATTAACTGTTGCTGTCCTATGTTAAATGCATAAACATTACTTCAAAAATGATTGAACTTAGCAGAACTGGCAGTGAATAATCATCCACAATAAGTCACAGTGAACTATGTCTGTTATTACAATTGCCTTAACCAAAAACTTCCATTTCCAAACCGGTATGTCAAGATAGTTGCTGCCTAAGTAACTAATAAGACTAAATTTCCCATTATATGTCTGAAAATACCTTCCGATTCTCTATAATAAAAAGCTTCATATATTTTATTTAAAATTTTGACTATTCAAGGAGAATTTATCTAAAACTTCAGTTATTTCTTATTGTAATTTTTGCTGAAATGGCTTCATTTATGTATATGTAAGATGGCAGTTTTCTTTTTTTCTGCAAGTTTTTACTTCCTCTCTGACACTATAATCATGTTTCAAATTCCCCTGGACAGTTTGTTCAATGGTAATCTATTTATGAAGTTTTGAACATTATTAATCACAAAACTCCACAAAATTTAAGATTTATAATAAATTTCACGTGAAATAACACTAAATTTTCTGTTTATGCATATAAAGGTGGGGATTTACCACTTTATTGGCAGCATGAACCAGTAGAATTGCCATGAGAGTGATCTGTTTAATCAGCAATCAAAAAAATTTATTTCGAACACAAACAAAAATCTATGATACTTACCATTCGAGAGTCCATCAAAGCTTTGGCCATGAACTTCCCAAGTAGTTTGAATTTACTACGGATTTTTGTGACACAACTAACCTTGGCACTTCGGCTGAGTGGGGAGGGGAATAATCCACATGGTGAATGAATATATGATGTGCGGTCTGCTGGACCTACATTTGAAATACAGCAGGGAAACTTGTAAAACATTTCAAGTTTATGAATATTGTATTAAATATTCCAGATTATAGTAAATATAACATCAGAGAATGCAACATGTATTTTGTTACTGTAATTTTAAATTTCATTTTGAAAAATTTAGCCTTTTTTTTAATATACCACACTATATTACTTCTGATCCTATAAAATTTAGAAAATGTTGCTATCTTTGTTATTTCTATTTTCACAAGGTTAACTTAAAATGAAATAAACTTTATACTGAAATGTCAGAAAAGTTGAAGTCAGTTACTAAAACATACCTCAATTTCAATAGCATTGCATTAGCTTTTGCAACACAATGCACAACACCTACTTTTAGTAAAGAAATAATTGTTTGCTTGGGGAGTTTTCACTCAAAGCCACTTGAGAGCTATATGTGCTAGCCATCTCTAATTGTGAAGTGATAAGACTAGTCAACACCATTCACTGCCAAACTCTTGGACTACTCTTTTACCAATGAACAGTGACATTGACTGTCACACTATATTGGCCACACAGCTGAAAAGGCAAGCACATTCAGCAATGAGTTTCGATCCTATGACCTAGCTATAAAAGTGAAGTTTTACTGGTTTTTCTCTAAGTTTTAATGTAAACCATATATTTTGTTTCACCTTAAATTCTAATAAGCTGTATATATAAAAGTTAATGATGCCATGTTACAGCTAATCAAAAGAATTTTCTTTGAAACAAAAACATGTACATAGTGTTTAAAAAGGTGTAGAAAATATTTGGAAAAGTCTAGAAAGTATGGTTTAACATAGAAGTTGGTTCAAGTGTTGGCTATATTTTGGACTGTTAAATCAAAGATATTGGAAAGAATTACTACTGCTTCTGAATTACCAAGTATTTTATACAAAGTATGACGAGAGAGGTGGACACAGTGTTTAAAATT